AGGAGATGGGAGTTAACAGGAGACATAGATATGAAGAAGCACTACAATACAATTCTTTATTTAATCCTCATCAGTCAAGTTATATTGTGTAGTTCTGCTGTGCCAACCCTGCAGCTCCAGAAACTGGCACAGGAAGCAAAGGGAAATTCCCACTTTTGTATAGAAATCATAGGGGTTAGGGTCACAAGCCAATGGGCCAAAGGGAGGGAACAGGTAAAAGGTAAAGGAACATCAACACTTCAGTAACATACACTCAGCATCATAATCCGCAACACACCTCTGGAAGCATCCCCAAACAAGTCTGTCGTTCCTACAGCACTCAAACAGCACCCTGCAGCTGCCCCCAAGTCTAAGTCCAGCTCCTGCAGGCCATGTTCCTAGCTGACTGAGCCAGTGAGATCTTCAGCTCCACTGTGGACTCCTCTGCGTATGGCTGGCCAGGGTCAATGTACACACTGCTCTCTCTTCCCCTTGCTCCAGCCTCAAGCTTTCTTTTCCTTTTTCTCTTGCCCCCCGCCATCTCTGTGGGCTTCTGGGAGTTGCAGTCCAAATTAAGAGACATGACAGCTCTGCAGACTGCTCCCTGGTTCCACCTGCTGTTATACATATACATTACATTTGTATCACACTGCTTCAAGTGTTTAACCTCTGCCTATCCATTTGTACATTCAAGGCAGCAGTCTGCACATGGATAAGTAAGGGCCTATTTTATATATCTGGAATTTATAAGATCTGGGATTTTTAAGGATGGAAGGGACAGTTATGATAATCTAGCCTTAACCTCCTGGATAAATACAGGCAACAGGCCTAATAATTTCTGCATCAAAATTACAACTTCTTTCTGAACTCTTTTTTTGACATCTTGGATTTAAAGACTGCAACTGATGAAGAATCCACTACGTTAGGAAAGTAACCCCAGTGATTAATGATTCTCACTGTTAAAATAGTTCATCTTAGTTCTAGTCTGTATTTTCCTAGTTTCATCTTTCAAATGTTAAAACTTATCGCCTTTTCTGCTATATCAAAAATCCCCCTACCTTCCGAACACTCTAGTTTAAGCAGTCGTATTTTATGAGATTCTGTAGAAATAACCACGTGAAATTTGGGTACACATGGTTAGTATGTATACTGCATTTGGGGCATGTCTGTACTGCAGTGGTAAAGCGCCACTGAGAAAATAAGCCCCATCTCTCTACACCCACTCTCCATGCATCAGCTCGAGAAACGAGGATGGTGGAAGAAGTTCTGGAAAAAATGCTGCCACAATATTCAAGATCTGGGTTTCCAGTATAGACATACTTTTAATTCTCCAATAAAAGGTATGTTGGTAGTTTACAGAAAGTGAGAAAAGTTATATGGGACAAAATTCATCTCTAGTGAAGCTTCATTGACTTGAGTGGAGTTAGACACAAAGCTTTATTACCCCATTAGTAGAAGTGTTCAATTCCTTCGTGTTCTTTTTGTAGATACTTTCTGATATACTGTTCACAATTTCGAGCTGATTGCAATAACCAAAGAAGTGCCTCTGGGGAAAAAAATGAAAAACCCTTCAAATTTCCTCAGGTTGGTAACTAAAGGAAAGGCAAAACATTAAATTTTTTTAAAATATATTTATACTACTTAAAGAGGAGAATAAATCTACCTCCAATTCCCTAGAGATGCCAAAAGAAGGAATGTTTGTTCATTTTTCTGTCTCATTGGTCTACACATTTAAATTTCCAGAGAAGGTTTGCCATTTCTTCCTAACCCACTAGCAGAATGCTATAGTAAAATCTCTCTTCCCTTCTGCTTCATTACCATTCCACTAGCACTTAGAAATAACCCATCCTCATTTCAAATGCAAAGATTAAAGGTTTAGAAGATGAAGCGGAGAACAGTAAATTGGATATTCAGGAAAAAATACATATTGTAAATAAAAGGAATAAACAAGATAAAGCCTAAAGCTTAGATGTTTTTAACTTGAGGCAATGATAGATTCATGCACACCAAATGTTAGAACTTCAACTTAACAAATGCAAAGACCACAAGAGGGCAGTATAGGACCAATTAGTAGAACTTACCTTACTCCAGGCTTCATAACTGACTGGCATTTAAGATGTTTGGAAGATAGTTATATTTACTGTCTATATTTAAATTCAAGCAACATGTTTTAAAAATTAAGAATAATTATGTTTTTGGTATCACTGAAGTCAGATCATTTGCCAATTGAAGGCAAAAGCAAGAAAATAAGTATGTATTTTACTTTAAGGGGGCATCCTAACTAAAATAATAGACTTTGGGGATAAACCCAAGGTATTGAAATAACTCATTTCTTTGATACTGATCCTGCCAGCTGTACCATGTAGACTGACTCCTCCTCCCCCCCCCCCTTTAGACTCCCATTGGCTTCAGGTGAGGCTTAAGGTTTAAGTTTTAAGAAGCATTGGGCGTGTTTACATGAGACTCTGACTGTGCAGTAGCCGAAAAATACTGCTCAGTAATGCATCACAGCATGGACAGTATTAATACAGGAATGGCTCAATTAGCTCAGTCAGTCGTGTATGAGACTCTTAATCTCAGGGTTGTGGGTTCAAACCCCAAGTTGAGTGCATGGTACCTTTAGTCCCATACTCGGCTTACTACTTCATGGTTAGGGCTGCCCAAGAATAGATTCCCAAGGGAGGTGGTGCACTCTCCTACCTTGTATGGATATGTGTAGTTGTTCTTCAAGGAGATGATCCTCCAAGCTCAAAGGGAGTCAAGGCCAAGGCAGAGATGGAGCTAGGGCTAGCAACCAGAACTAAGGATAATGAAAAGTCCTTTTTCAAACACATAGGAAGTAAGAAGGCGGCAATTGGGTAAAGTGGGGCCCCTACAGGATAGGCTTGGCAATCTGGTGATTGCGGCAAATGGAAAAGCTGACCTCTTTAACAAATTCTTTGCCTCCATATTCCTGAACAGGGACTGGGACACCTCCCCCACTAGAATTGGAGACGGACCCAGGGGAGGCACCACCAAGCCTAGGGTCAGGAACAGCCTAGTTAGGGAACTCTTGGAGGGGCTGGATGTGTTTAAATCAGTAGGTCCAGATGCTCTTCACCTGAGGGTGCTGAGGGGATTGGCAGGGGTCATAGCAGGGCCCCTGGCAAGGCTCTATGAGTGCTCATGGGGCACTGGCCAGGTACCAGAGGATTGGAAAAGGGCCAATGTGGTCCCCATTTACAAGAAGGAGAGAAAGGAGGACCCCGGCAATTATAGGCCAGCCAGTCTTACCTTGGTCCTTGGGAAGACCTTTGAGAAAATTATCAAGGAGCGCATCTGCAAGGGCCCAGCAGGGGAGGTAATGCTCAGGGGCAAGTACTAAATAAATGTGCAGTAAGGACTACGCAGTAGCATCTCATGTAGATGCATCCTTTGAGTACTACTTAAGTCTCCATCTGAAATCAAGGGAACCTGTGGGCACTCAGAAGCTCTGCACACCAGGCCCTTCATGTATTTCTAAATGGCACAGGAATTATTATTGCTGTGGACTCTTCTCCCTCTCCTTTATTTACTAAGTTCATCTGTACAATAGAGAAAATGATTGAGAACCCTATGAGATCCAGGTCCATTTTTAGTATAATCCCAGAGGCTGATATGCTATAAATCAAGTTGTAGAGACCAAAAATCAATTTCAGTGATCTTAATTTCAGTTAACTAAGTCTTAAGGCAGTTTAAGGAGCATTGCTGGGGAAATAGCAAACACCAGCTCCATTCTTTATTGTAGAGAGATTGAAATACTTGAAAAAACTGCTTTAACAATACAATTAAAAGTCTCCATTTTACTTATCTGGCTATTTAAGTAGTCTCTGAAAAACAAGGTATCCAAAATCATCACTCAGACAGCCAAGTGCAATCCCATTGGCTTTAGCACAATGCAGCTGCTTACAGGCAAAGAGAATTTGGACCTCTGCATGTTACATACGTAAGTGGAGCAGGAGGATTGGTACTCCTGTAAGAGAAGGCAGACTGCAGATGAAGCAGTCTGCAGGTTCTGCAGAAAGCAATCAGGAGTCACATGACCCAAAAGGGGGCTGGGCTTACAGGATATAAGCTCAGAGTCTGAGCTGGGGTAAGGGTCTGATCCTGACAGTAGACCTGAGAGGAGCTCATGGGCAATTGAGGAGAGACACTGACCTCCTGCCAGGTGCCTGGGGTAGACAACCTGAGGGCTGGGGACCATATGAAGGTTTATGGACAGGACTAAGGGGTGGAAGAGATCCCAACAGACCTGTGAATGGAGAAGCCTGGGAGAAAGGGCTGGTAAGCCTATATCCCAGAGGGGGCGGAAACAGGCCTGAGAATAGAGAGACCTGGAAGATAGGGCTAGAGAGCCCACAGCCTGGAGAGGGGCAGGAGAGTGCAGAAAACTAGAGAGCCAGGAAGCAAGGAGGATCAGGGTGCCCATGGTCACAACTGGCCTAGGAGCAAGATAAGGGTTTAGGGCAGGGGTGGGCAAAATGCGACCCACAGGCTGGATGTGGCCCACCAGGCCATTCTATCCAGCCTGCGGGGCTGTTAAGAAATTTAGAAAATGAATATTTATCTGCCCCTGGCTGCCTGTCATGCAGCCCCCAATGGCTTGCCAAAACTCAGTAAGCGGCCCTCCGCCCAAAGTAATTGCCCGCCCCGATCTAGAGAGACTGAAGGTCAGGGACCACTTCCATAGACTGAGGGGATCAGAGAACCTGTAGTCCAGAGAGGGGTGTAGACAGGGCAAGGGAGCCCAGCGATCAGGGCCAGGAAGCCAAAATGCAGGAAGGGCGCAGATAGGAGACTGAAAGGGCAGGATACGGTGCCCAGGAGTAGCCTGCATAGGCAAAGTGCCCGGGTGGGGAGTGCAAGCTGAGATGCTGTGCTCAGGAGTAGCTGTAAGAAGCAAAGTGCCTGGGTGGTGAAAGCAAGCCTGGAAGCTACACCCAGGAGTAGCCGAGCTAGGCAAAGTGCCTGGGCAGGGAGGCCCTGTCATAGACACTGAGGCCATGGCCTAAGGGAACTGCCAATGAACATGACTGATACCATCTGCTAGGCATGGGCATGGTTTAATGGGCAGTTGGAGCCACATAATTAGCCCTTAAGGCAATGAGTAGGGTCACCATGAGGAAGAGATCGGATTTGGGAAGCCCTGGGGCAGCCTCCCTTTTCTGAAAGTATCATTCCATCAAAGCTTGGTAGGTGAGGAAAAGGAGAAATCGCTGAAAGATAGCAAAATGGACAATGGTTGAAGGGGCTCCAAGGGCATCACAGCTACTCTTGGAGCAGAAGCTTGTTACAATAACCCAGGACTGTAATACAAGGAAGACTTCCCAAACTGGGGGGTATTAGCAAGAGCTACAGCTCTTATATACTGAAGAATCATAATAGCTGCTCCCCATTTTTGCCTACCAAAATCTTACCTTTAATTCAGTGTATAAATAAGATTCCAAGGAGCTAAGATTCTGATTCTGCAATACTGAAGATCATAGCAAAACCACCTGACATTGCAATGACATTAGGTCTGGCCTTATAAGGCAGTCTAAACATGCTAGAAAATATATTTCTAAAGACACAGTCAAGAATTGTTTTGCCTAACAAGGGACAAATCCTGGCCCTAGGCCTATTAATGAAATAAACAAGATGTGGACAGAGAATTTACAAAGGTGGAGAGGAGCAAAAGCCTTCTTTCCCTTAAGTCCTGAATTCCTGCACAGCACTCCAAAAGAGAAGTTTGTGCCTTCTGTGATCCATTTCCATCTCCTGCTTCCCTGCCCCAGGAGACTTTAGAGAGCTCTCCACAGCTCACCTCACAGCGGTACTACAGTGGCTGCACTGTACTCCAAGTTTGATGCTAATAATGAACGGATGTGCTCTGCAGGATAGAGTTTTTTCTCTTTAAATAGATGCAATTCAGAATATTTTCTGCAACAATTTGTCAAGTGAAGTCCCTTACCGGGTACTTACAGTTGCTTAAGCTAGGGGAAAGCTAACACTCATAGGCCTGTGCTAAGCGGCTAGTATTCGCTTCAGATTCGGATTTGGCTGATTCGGAGGACAGTGATTTGATTCAGTGGTTTGAATCACTGTCCCGAATTGCTTTGGCCAAATCTGATTCAGAGATTCGGCTTCTGCCGTATCAGCAGAGGCTCTGAATCACACAGGCCCCATCCGCCGCTCGCTCTTCCAGCCCCACCCACCCCAGCCCCCAGCTCTTTGGAAAGAAAAAGCCTGCACTCTCCAGCTGCTGCCAGGCAGGGGGGCAATCCCCACTGCCCCCCGTTGCCCCACACTGTGTAGGACGGCTCTGTCAAGAGCCCTCATTCCCTGTCTACACTCTCAGCACCTCCATGGCTGCCCCACCCGCCCCAGCTC